GGGATATTTGTGTATATTGTTACCACGTCAAAACCTACTAGTATGTCTCTTAAATATTATGCAGGTCCACTAAATTAACAAGTTCATAAAAGTGTTCAACATAAAATAACCAAAATACGGTCACTTTTCTTAATTGTGACATGACTTTCTATTTCGAAGAAAAAGTTGATTAGAAGGATTTCGTGATTTTGTCTCACCCCAAACCGAAGGAGGATTGTCGCATAAGGAAGACTGTTGTTCTATGCAAAAAAGTCCTCAGCTCACTATTCTGCAACTCCGATGAAACTGTGCTAAGCTTTCCTCTGTGCTGTGACAAACATCATCAGAGCAAAAATCCATACTTTACTAAATAAAGCAAAAATATACTAAAAACCAAGAGAAAAGGTGATCAAATTTATTGTTTGTATAAAACGTGAGGTTTTGTGCATACGATACCCTTATTGTTTACAATACACGTAAAGGGAAACCCCTCTTTATACACCTTTGGAAGACCATAAGCAAAGTGTGCCCTAGCATCTCTTTGAAGTAGGGAATTTATTTTACTGTTCTCCATTTCCCCACTACTTACGCATACTTTTAAAACATCTCTTAGACGAGTTTTCAAGTCCCTCTGTAGGATATTTCATGAAAGGCTCATACGTATCAATATCGTTTAAATGAACATTTTTTATGAATAACTTGACGCATCCATAACTGCCACTGGTATACCTTTGTCGGCTTTAATAAAAATTAGATTATTACACACTAAAGATATAGATACTCTGCTCAGAACAAAGGATTTCTTTAGTGTAAGTATCTGGTCAGTCATGAATAAACTCCAGTTCTACACTATTCTTGACTTGTTTAGGCAGCCTAGCTCATAAGCTAATTAACTCAACGAGTATTTACAGGGAGTTGTTTACTTTATTCGGTAATGCAAAATTTAATCCTCTTTCTTGTATAATCCTTTCTTATCTTATATTTACAAAACTTGTTAGATATATCTTTATTAATCTTTGCCTTAAATACAAGGTCCCTCGAAGGGATCGTATTATCCACATTCTTTAGCTTCTTATCATGAACCCATCTAGTAATCTTATGAATTGCTTCAACCAAACCGTCAGCCATATCTTGTAACATAAGAAAGCCTTCCTCATTCAAAATGTGAGAAAGGGTTTGTCTTACTACGGATTTGGCTCTAATCAGATCGTGCAACTTGGTAGTGCTTTTATTATGTCTAGTTTTAATCAAGCCATTCGATACCACATTCAAGTACTTATTGGTAGAAATATGTAAATCATTATGCCGACCAAGAAAGCAACATTTAAGAAGTACTTTGTGAGAAATACAAATCAAAAATCTAATTCTATTGTTTTGTCAGGCCATACTTTTCTTCGTTTTAGTAGGGTGAGAAGACATATGGCAAGAATTTGAGCCATACGCAGCCTTAGTTCAACACTCCGGGCACAGTGGGAGGGATTAGGAAACCAGCAGGGAGTGTGAATAGATTTCAAATAGGCTTAGATAAACACCAAAATCAAAGCTCACATACAAGTAAATTCCAAATTAAAATAAAG